GACGCCCTCCTGCCTGTTATCAACGCTGTTGCAGCCATTTAAAGTTTACGAGGCAAGTACATTTTCAGATATTGCCATTATTCAATATGGCATCAATACTAGATGTCATCTATGATGTAGATGCAAATTGCATTTACTCAGATTATCTTTGTTTGATCTGAGTCAAGTTTGACTCCCCCCAAAAAATCTACAAATACTTTTTCACTGAAGTGATCTGTGGGCAAATGTTGGTTTTGCTTTCTTTTGCACTAAGTGTGAGCATCTTAAAAGGGCTGCTCTACTTTGCTTGTTTTTCAGTGGCCATGCTGTGCAACCTTCCTGATATTCTATGCTGATGCGTGACAAAGGGGCAAAATCAGCTCCATTGTTGTGGTTTTGTAAAAAAAAAAAAAAAAAAAAAAGAAAAGAAAACACATGATGCTCGATATTTTGTCTCTCAACGTACAATGGTTCTCGTGTAGTTGTTTAGAGTTTCGATCTTGGCGTATCAGCGTTGCTGGCATCAGACCAGAACAAGAGGAATGTCGGCGTCCCTGCGAGACCAAATATCTCGGTACATGTTGTGCGGGGGACGGGGTGTCACGGGGCGCATGCATCACATCGGGGCTCAAAAGCTCCTGATTTCACTGACACTGATTCATCCAGCCCATTCAAGTTGAACAAAGTCATGAGTGCAGCAATCAGCAGAAAATCAAATATTTGTGATGGACGTCAAATGACGTAGTGCTCTCTCAAATACCTCATTTCTTTGCCTTTCTGTCATGGGCCATGGAGAAACTAAAGACACCCAGAGCACAGCGTGGGTGAGTGGGAGGCCAAAGGGTGATGTATTGTGCATAACACCACGTATTCAGTGTCAGTGTGGAGCACTGACATTTCCAGATGGGGCCACCCATGCTGGCCATAAATCTGTGAAGGAAAAGTTTTACCTTTTCAAGACTTTGGTAGGTTTTTTGCTTCTTACTGCTTGCTGAAGTTTGAGGTAAGGTGAGGTAATTTTATTTATATAGGACATTTTCAGCAACAAGGCAGTTCAAAGTGCTTCACATGTATTAGAAGGAAATGCAAACAAGAAAACCAAAAGAAAGACAAAAAGGTGAAAGTATAAACCTACATATATTGGTTTGGCATGTAAGAATAAGAATAAGTCGACAATAAATTATAAACTAGTAGGGATTTCTCTGGATTCTTGTTCTGATGAAACTAGATGTTGGTTCTCCATGTTTGGTAAGATTTGTGAGTATAAAACTAAATGTTGGTTCCAGTTGTTCTGGGTTGGGTTCTTAAATTTGTACAATATAAAGCTAAATGTTGGTTCTCCATGTTTGATTCTTGTTCTTGGTTGTTAAGTAAATGGTACTTTGTAAGTTTGTTCTAGATTTGTAAACTATCAGGACTTTCTCTAGGTCTTGCTCCGATATTAAAACTATAAAGCTAAATTTTGATCAAAGCTAATGAGTACTCTGCAATTTCTAAAAGTAACAAACTAAACAGACAAATAGGGCAAAGAAATAACACATCAGGAAAAATTGAGAAAATAGATAGTTATTTATTTATTATCTGATATTATCAGTTCCACGGTGTAAGACGTTGTTTAGCTAAGAGCAGAATATCTCTCTGATTCACAGACGCCAAAATGTATTTGTTTTTGTATTTCTTCATCTTTGTTCTTTTCGCAGCTGTTCAGCATGCTGAATAGATCAGCCGGGTTTAAAAATGCATTTAGCTTTGGAATAGTATCTGAAATCTGCTTGATTTCTGTATTCAAAATGACACGAACCACGTTAGAACGCTGAAACAACATGCTGGTCCCTCCCTGGAAAATAAGCAATATTCTTTCATTCCTGCTCAAGTTAATAAAGAATAATAAAACACCCTTCACTGTTATCAGGGCACCCCTGATAATAGTGTTTAAACAGCATTAAAATATAGATATTTGTTCTTTTTTCAACGGTTTAATGTCTCACCTAATCCAACAGTCATATGATATGATGATGAATTAGGTCATCAGGCTCAAAATCTCCTGCTTTCACTGACAATCCAATCTAGAGTGGAGTGATGAATAAGTGGAGCAGCACATCATCACAACCTTCAAGCACAGTAGAGGATTTGTGGTGCTGTGGGCCTGCTTTCCTTCCTTTAAGGACGTGAGAACCGAAGATTTGCAATCAAAATCCAATTGCTTTTGTCAGAAAAGTATAACAATTGAAAACATGAACAAATCAACTCAGAAATAGTTTCCAGGCACAAGGGGCAACTTTCTCTTCAATGGCACTAGCCATCCATATCATCCTGTATTCTAAGTGATTGAGCTCATTTTTTTAATTTTATGTGTTTAAAAAAAAAAATCAAATTGTTTTGTATGAAGTAATGATCCATCCCGAATTAAAGGATTTGGTTATCCTCAGGCACGATGAGTTGACCTTTTAGGATGTGATTTGCGTAATGGTAAAGGGTTGCTGTAAAGTTTGATGTGGATTTTCAGAAAAAACTGTTTATTATTTGTCTCCCAAATCAGGCAAATATTTAGGCTAAAGAACTGCAAGAGTTTATCGGCGCTTTGCACATCTTTCCATAAAACTATGAAACATCCAGTCAGAGATGGAAAAATTTCACAAATGCCGCCAATGCCTGTGCTGACATACGTAACTTGTTTTGTGCTTGGTATTCCAAGGAATCCGGACACGTGGTGCTGTGGGGAACGATGAGCACACAAAGGGTAGTGCCCCATTTGTTAAAGCTTACTCACAAAACCGTGGAAATGACATGTCACTGGAACAACGCTGGAGAGGAACCGGAGCAGTACTGCTGCACTTTACTCGACTTTTAGTTCTCCGCAACACGACTGTCGGATTTCAAAAGTTTACTTTTGAACAGTGAAACGTAAATATCTGCATGTCTGAAGGGGTTTATCCTCTACAAAACCTGCCTGCAGCCGCAACATTCTGCTATCAAACCTCTTAAAAAAGCAGAGAGAAGTTTCCTAAAGCGAGCCACGCACAAACAGACCATCTTTATTTGACGAACATGCAGATAGATAAATTTGTTTAAAAAGTTAACATTTAAAAAAATCAAAAAGACCAAAACCTCTCCAACACTAATGGGGCTCTGATCTAGTTTCTTTCAGATCAGACAGCTAAATCTCGCGGAAACCAGAAGATGGACATGAGAGCAAACAATTACCTTTCCCAGGTAGCTGCACCAATTGTTGGGGGCTGGAGGATGAATGAGGAGTATTTTATGTGAGTGTTTGCGTGTGTGCGTGTGTGTGTGTGTGTAGTGTGTGAGTCCCCCAATGTGGAGTGTCCTTTTGACCTTGCAGTTACTGCAGACAACACACAGAGAGATGGTTTTGTGTCCCCAGTCAAGAGGCCTGCTTTCACCTGAGCGGGCTCGGCCAATTACGCTCTTCAATCCCCCCGTCCAGCGGAGACAAAGGGGAGCCGAGCGGGATGAGTGACTGGGACCGGGCCGGGAGTCTCTGCCTTTAGTGGAGGAGGGGCGAGGAGTGAATCCCATAGAACACGGAGGGACATTTTTGTTCTACTTGCGTACGAAAGGTTTTCCAATTTTAAACTGCAAACCGATTCTAAAAGGCTTTGCGTTGATGTTACGTGATAGTAAAGGAACTGAACACGTGTTATATAGGACTCTCTGACGCTGCTTCTGCAATGTTTGGCACTGGGACGCCACATCGGCCCTGAGCAGATGTAGGTAGAGTACTCCAAAACTGTACTCAAGTAAAAGTAAAAGGTAGTCGTCCAAGAAATTACTGAAGTAAGAGTAAAAATAAGTATTTGGTAAAAATTCTACTCAGGTGCTGAGGAACTGATCACAATACACTGGGTTACAAAGTTTTTTTTGGAAGTTGTCAATGTTTTTTTCCAACTTTGTTAGGACTATTTTGTAATGCTCAATCCAAAAGTGACATCCTTTTTCCTCCTGCTCATCACTCACTGATCCCACATTATCAATAAACTGATTCATATGTGAGAACAAGTCATGCAGTTTGATGCTCATGTTGCATCCATGCTGCAGAAAGTTGACCTGACTGAGCAAAACCAATGTGAGTTTTGGATTCAGCTCATCAAAATTACCCTAAAACAGTTGAAAACTGTTAAATTACCCAAGTAAAAGTAAAAAGTACAGCGTGGTAAAAATACTCCTAAAAGTACTTTATTTTTTTTTCTTTTCCAAAAACGTTACTCAGGTAAATATAACTGAGTAAATATAGGTAGTTACTACAACACTCTGGGTCCTGTGAACTGCAGGGTGGAGCGGCGCCGTGGATCGGGCTTGTTCTGGCGCATCGCGCTCATGCTTAGTCTGCCGGGTCAACATTCAGTACTCCCTGTGCTGCTCGAGCTGTTTGTCTGCAACTTCTCTGGTGCGGTAGGCCACTTTGTTCTTGAGGAAACAAGAACAAAGAAGAAACTCTGCAGTTGCCAAGAGCACGTGCCTCCAATCTACAGCAACGTCTAACGGCAGGAGGCATCAAAGTACCGCACGTCAAGTGCCAGGACCCTCGGAATTCATGCAGAATGTTGCATCAGAAACGGGAATAATAGTTATTTGCCTCACCAGACCTTTGCTTTTAATGGTGGAATTTGTGATAGACTCAATAAAATCCAATCCTGTGCTTCTCTCTCTGCCTCTGGTGCAGGGACAGGTTTAGGCAGAACAACAGACCAGTAACACCAGTAACACGTTGGGCGTTATGGTCGGGATCTGGCTCCACATCTCGTTTTTCAATTCAAAACTCTGGCAGAGAGCTGAGATTCTTCCTCTCTGTCATCTCCAGAAAGCAGTAAAAAGAGCGAGGGTTTGTCATAAAAGCTTTAGTGGTTTCATCATCGCACACAAATGTAATAAATTCAAATGAAGCAGCAGTTACACACATGTAACATTGCACGTAGCACAACAAATTTTGCTGGATGATAAAATGTGCCAGACGTTATTGTGATAAATGACATTTATTGTTGTTTTGAGACCATTTTCAAGTAAGAATAATAATGCAGGGAATGCACTTTACAGATCCATAAGCTTTAAATTGTGATCAACATTTACCACCTGAACTGGAAGACATTTTAAATATCCAAAAATAAATAAACAAAACAGAAACACATGAAATGGACACTGAAGCGTCTGTAAACAAAACTGTCCTTCAAAATAAGGGCCAGTTGAGACCAGACTTGATGCTTTTATCACCTGGTTTTTGGTAATAAAAAGACAAAAAAACAATAAATTACACAAGTGAAAATGATCGAGTTTGTTTTAACTTATCATGTGATTAATTGATTTATTGATTAGTGTGACAGGCCTATGTGTCTTACAAGTAAGAAAGGCATTGCATCTTTGTTCAAATTTTATATACAGATTTTATCACGTTAAATTCAATTCTGGTTTCTTCTTCAGAAGTTCAATATAAAGGTGGGTTGTGATTCAACACAAATTCCTTAACAACGATCTTTTGTGGCTTAAACGAACACACACAAAAAATTTGAATTAATTGCTTTAACTCACTAATTATTTTTGGCAAGCTAACCTCCTGGCAAAGCAGCAACCGTCATGCAGCTTCGTCTTTCTTCGGGTTACAAGCTTCGCACCAATCACAATTTTCTTTTTTACGAAAATCCGACCCTTTTTACCAGTTTTGTCCCTCCTACCCCCATCCTCTCTCCCTCCTAATTTCCTCTGACAAAAGGCATTTCATAATATATTCCCCTGGGTCTGTGTTGTGCTGTTAGTGTGCATTGTGGTGTACAGTACATCAAACCTGCCAGGCCTTTGAAATAGCTGTCACAAAGATAAGGTTGCTGTTATTGAAGCCATTATGAGATTAAAGCTCTGAATAGCCGCAGGGCCTCCTTCAAAGAGAGAGAGAGAGAGAGAGAGAGAAGAAAAAAAGAGAAAGAGAAACAGAGAGAGAGATCATGCTTTGAACAGGCAAGGATCCAGCATGTGCAATCTGATAGATTCTCTGCCATTTATGTTCTGTGTCTGTTTGATCGATTTTTAAAAAAAAAAATGTATTGTTACGTAAACATATCGACTTATTCAGGTTTGGATTTGACTCATGGCTCAAAGTGGGAGACTGATAAAGAGCTGAGGTTTGATCCATTATTGTGAAAATGAAAATGATGTGAATATGTGCAACAAGGCCTTACACACTGTTAATCTGCGCCAGCTTCATGTTCCAGCACCACGCGCTGTTAGCAGGCCTTCTGCAGCGCTGCTTCAAGCAACGATCCATGAGGCCGATGAACCGATCTGCGTGTCATTGAGTGAAATAAGCATTTGAAAAAAATCAACACTAAATCTAGGATTTCAGATTCCTGAACCCACGTGGCATACGGAAAACAACCAGTCAATAAATTACAGAAACTCTTGACTTTTACTTGTAATGAATTTGAAGCAGAGTATGTTTTTCCCCTGTACGTCTGAAATGAGCAACAAGACAATTAGCAAGCGGCTCGCTAAGAGGTAAACACTGTTGGCGTGTTTGACCAGAAAGAAGACAGGAGCTTGTTAATGATCCAAAGGCAGTTGGGACTGTGACAACCATGACAACACTGGCAACACGCAACGCTGTGATGGATGCAATTAATGCTGTTATAAGAGACGCAGGCACAGACCTGCCTGAAGCTGGCCTGTAAACATCTGAGTACTTCAGGGTGGTTCTCTGATGACTTTATAGCTCCTGAAGACCAATGAACCGGTCCGTGTGGCATAAACTGTTCTTCCCGCAGCCACAAGATGAATCATGGTGAAGACTCCAGCGTGACAATCCCACACACATGCCTCAAAACGTAACCCTGAGGCAGCAAAGGAGAGTAAGATTAATTTAATGAAGTTACATCCATCCAAGAGGAATCCACGGAGAGACATGAAGTCTTGAGTTAACAAGTGGCAGTGAAAAATCTTGGAGAATTTAGAGATTTTTTTTTGTTTAGCCAAGTAGACTACAAAATGTGTCCTTGCTGACCGTGAAGAGTCCTACTGCTGTGGCTGTCAACAAAGAGTTCAAATACCGTATTTCACCCAGTGACAAAAAAACAAAACAAAAACAATGTTCAAACTTTTAGACAAACTTTCTAGAAAAAGGAAACTAAAATAAACACAAATTTGCATTGTGAGTGAGCTAAATCTTACATTTCCAGGGGGTCAAAAACCGATTCTTGTTCTTTGTTCCCGATAAAGTGATGGGAGTTTTGGAGGGAAATGGGTCTGGCGGGGCTGTGAAAACAAGAGGAGGTAGACAGAGTGTGTATTCAGGTCGAGTAAGGACAATTGTGTCAGAATTATGTACAAACCAGACACCATTTTTGATCAATTGCATTTTTCTTTGACAGATGTAATTTGCTTGAGGAAAGCAGTATGATGTTTAAAAACAGAGAAATGTGGTTACAATCTGGGTCGATGCACAGCAAAGAACTGAAACGTGTCAAATTTGACAGAAATGTAGATTTTTATGCCTCGTTGTCAAATAGAGAGCAACAGGTCTTATTCCAGCTTAGCGAATCTCAGTCAAAGGTTTAGAAACTTTATGGATGAGTCAAACATCTTCGACACTATTTGAGAAGCTAGAAAAGTAAGAGAAGTTACCTTTGATAAATCACATCCACATGTAGATGACACTCAACATTTCTCCTCTTTTGGAAACGTCCTCCTTATTCTCGCAGATTATTTTGGTTGGGTGATCATTTTCAAATTACTTTAGTCATTAGGCATGTCCTACATAGTACCGGGAAGATTTAATGATTTTAATATCTTGACTAATGGTTTTCTATTTATCATATCAAGCAGCTGTTGACAGAGAACCTAAGTGTCATAGAAGAGGTTGTGTTGCAGAACCAGGATGTGTCTGCACAGCATTTTTACCTGTCGCTAAAATTAGTATCCCCCTTGTTTCAGCCTCTGTTGTTTCAAACATACTTCAGGTTATAAAAGAAAAGTTACAAAATAAAAATCCAGATTATATGAGTGATATAATAAAAATTAAAAAAAAAATTAAAAAAATCAGCACCTGCAAACTGCTCTTTCTTTGATAAGGAATTGTGTTGGTAATCCAGTTGTCTGGGTTATGAGGAGTAAACTTGGCATTTTAAGCCAGCAAACACAGCAGAAAGATACAAGATCAATGTAAACCTAATTTCACACGAGATAAATAGATGAGAGTAACTGCATACCACTTTAAACGCCTGTAATCTTAAACCCGCTTTGTTGGAGCACACAAGTCGAAGACGTATCCGTCATCACGAGAAAGCCGTGCAGCCGCTCAGCGAACAAGACCGTCGCTTTGCGTATTTAACCCTCTTAATTTGTTTGTTTTTCTCAAGAAAGCCGGCATTTATAGTCTTAATTAATCATTATGTACGCTTAATGGCGCAGTTTTCTGGAAAGCGACGTACTGACAGACTAATTCCTAAATGTCTCACGGAAACCCGAAGGTGGTCTCTGGATGTTTGGCGCAGGGCTTAGCTCCAGCGCATTCATCTTTGGGCTTTTCAAGTCAGGCTGACAAGTTTTCTCCCCCTCTCTAATTTGTCATCGTATGCGCCTCGCCGCCCGCCCCCGCTCTCCTGTCACATTTTGGAGAGCTAATGGGGTCCGCTGCAGATAACCGCTGTTTGCCTGCCTCAAACCTTTGTTTCAACAAGCCGGATAGCACAAAACAAACCAAAGTGAAAATGACTACATGTGCACAACACTAACTCACTGCAGGTAAACAATCACTAAAAAAAGATTACAATCATGCATGACTTTTACCTAAATTCACTCAGATAGTAAATGTGTGAATTGTGATGGAAACTAAACTATTTGTATCCTGGGAGCTAGATTTAACTTCTGTTCTCATCACGAATCTTTAAAGACATAACTAAACAGGAAAATGATTGTGGACTAAGAAAAATTCACACATCAAGAGGAAGTGAGTAAAGAGGAAAATAAAATCAATAGTATAAACTAGATATTCCTTTACATTTTTTTTGTATTTTGATCCAGGTATGTACACGCCAGTGACATTTCGACTGAAACCGAGGAGAAGTCAGGTGAATCTGCCATCTTAGTTAACCATTTATGTCCCGGCTGTTGAATGAAATTCCTCTGTTCTCACTGTTTTGATACAAAACATTTTTACACAGATGTCCAAAGTAGACAAGCATATTATAAAATGTAGCAAAACAATACAACTAAAACAATTTCACTGAAGAATCCGGTAAAGTAGTCGTGGAAACGTAACTCTTCCAACCAGGATCGTACGAGGAGTTGAACTTACTGTTCAGATTAAAACCAGATAAATATATTAGAAAGGTAATGAGGAATATAAATATAAAAGGAACTGGCCATAACCTCAGGTGAGAATAATCAAACAAAGGATCAAAGAGAAACAGGAGCACAAGAGTAAATAATACAAAATAAAGGTGATTTCAAGGACAATCAACTGGTGGGTCTAAATATTTCCATGTGTAGTAGCTGAAACCCTTATTGTGAGACGATAGAGAAAATATATATATTTCATATTTTTAAATAAAGTTGCCCACCACGGACTGACAAACCATCTTAGCAATTTGTCTTATTTTGAATTTCGTTTCCTTTCCACTTAAATTTGTAAGATTTTTTCCCCAGTTCCCATATTTTATATTTATTTATTTTTCATTTTGTAAAAAGAAAAAAAACACCCATCATCTTTAAATTTCCTAACTTGTTTCTTGTAGGAACCTCCAACTCACCGTGGTTTCCCCCCCATCCCTCTCTTTCGTCTTCAGGAAAACAATTCTCAAACACGCCACGACTGCATAGGTAAGAAAAGCGTCGGCCTGTTCAGGGAAAGAGTTTCCTCCATTTTGCTTGGTTTCCCCAGTGAGCTCGTGCGTCTTATCTCCTCATCCACACAGAAGAAGTCAGAGGACCGGACAGCTCCTCACAGCTCTTATCTGACTCCGGCCTGTGGTATTTCCGTTAGAGAAAAGCATTATCTCAGGGTGAACCTCTGCACTGTCCAGCCTGTCCACCACAGATTAGTGGAAACAACATTTGGAGGAACGTCTCTTCCAGAAATGTCCCACGCGGCCACTGGTGTTTTCATTATTTTACCAAGGAAGTTCTGTCTCTTTATTTATTCTTTAATTCTTTTTGCCCTGCTTTACATACATTCTCTTCCCCCCCGTTGGTTAACCAGCTCTCCTTCGTAATGACAAAACAGAAGATGTAACTTATTTATTGCTGGGGCTTTTTGTATCTTGATGGGTATTATCAATCAATCAATTTTTTTGTACAGGACATTTCAGCAACGAGGCTTTTCAACACCACAAAAACACAAACATACAACACACAGTCAGCAGCTGAGGCTTAACATTTAGTCAAAAATGTCGATTAATGTGTCATTTATCATTTTTAAAAATCTACTGGGTATTTAGTCTTGATTTAAAGGAACTCAGTTTTCTGGAGGTTTGTTCCAGATTTGTGGTGCATAGAAGCTGAATGCCTTTTTAAGCCATTGCACCATTTAAAAAAAAAAATGAACAACAACAAAAAAAAAAGACAAAATCATCTGTCTGAACAAGGCATCTACCAGAGCATGAAATGACCCGACACCCATGAGGCTTTTTAAGACTGCATGTACCTGTCACCATGATGGAAGCTGATGATATAACAAAGTACCTGCTTTAACACGTCTAATTGTTTTGGCAACACGCATACTTCAAAAAAAAAAAAAAAAGCACAGGGAAGGCAGAGAGCGCCGTTCTGTCATCCACTTACTGACTGCGGCTCCGACTGGAACAAAAAGCCTCTCTGCTTTTAGATGACGGACGACGCAGGTTTTCTGCTTTACTTGGCGCTCGGTCAGCCGCGTTGCATTCAGTAGCAACAGGCTCAACACAAGGCTTCGTACCACTCAGCTCGTCTCCCACGCATGTGATGACGACATGTTGGTTGTGGTTTAACTCCTGGAATGGTTGTTTGCTGTTCTCAAGTCGTTGGGTTAAAATAAAATAAAAAAAATGTTCTAGTCTATTATACAATTATCTTGTCGTGGTAAATAAATCACTTTGAGTTGTTTTTCCTCCGTACGCGACAGAGATGATGTATCTTCCTAATGGTTCACAGAAGTATGTAAATGTCACGTTTATGCAAATGCTAATGATAATCACCTGAAAACCTTTTTTCCACTTTTAACATCACACACAAGACACACACACACACACACACACACACACACACAAATTAATTACAGCTTTATACTTGCTGGCGCCTAACTACAACAAAAACATGAGTCAGGAGGGGAAAGAAATGTTACAAATGAAAAATCATGTAGATTAACTGTGCACAAATACCATATCTTAAAGTCCTTCTCAATCTAATTTAGACACTTATGCTCCTTGGTTACACGCTTGCCATTAAATATAGTGAGTATAAATAACCATATATATTCTTAACCTGTGTTTGTAGATTTTTTTCTTTTTTTTGTGATTGATGAAGTTATTGATTATTTCAGGGTTGTTTTTTTTTTTTCCCAAACCAAAAAAGCCTAACATTTTTCAGCAGAGTGTGTGAACGGTTTCCATATCCAGTGTGTTCCTCCCTGACATAGCGAGTTAAATCTTAGACGTTTTACTCCAGCATGATCCCCAATGACTTGTGGTCTTTGCAGTTAAATGTAGGTTATCTATTGTACTTCTCTCAAACACACAAACAGCGAGAGCAATTCCTGCCGTCCTTATTCCAGAGCTTCTTGCTTCATTAAGAGACCACACATTTTGTTGGAAACTAGGTTGCTAGTAACAGTTAAGTTTTTTTTCCTCCCTTTTTTTATTTTGTTGTCTTAACGTTCTATTGGTTTGGCGCCGGCGGTTTGAAGATAACATCACCCAATGTAGGCCACATGAAGAGAAAAACCGCCAGCCAATTATACTATTACCACTGATGAAGCGCTGGGTTGCATGTTAGTTTTTTTTTTATACACCCACATACTTCCAGGGACGATGGTAAAAAACACACAACCTCACAGTGCAAATTAAATTTATATAGCGTTTGTCATGAAGTACGGGAAACAAATGATTCTGAGAAGCAAATATGACAGAACGTCCAATTATGATGCAATTAAATAACATGAAACAACAATCCTGCGCTACGTCTACGTCTCTGCTGTAATGCGCCTGGTCCAAATTCTATGTCATGGCTTTTTATTCATTTATTAAGTGAATTTAAGAGAAAATGCAAATATCTGTCCCATAACAACGAGTGCCAGGATATGAAACTATGTACCAGTAAAAACTGGACACTATAAATTTAGATTCTAAAACATTTTTAACTTTAGTTTATGTGTTTTATCTTCTGCCGAACTGGTTCAAGCAGAAACAAGCTTACTGGGTTGTGTGGGTTGGGATCTGGGTATCATTAGAACTATTTGTTTTATGAGTCAGACAGAGTCCAAGCAACTGGCAAAAAAAAAAAAAAAAAAAAGCGTACCTATTGTGCAATTTGATTAAATATTCTACTTTTAGGCTCTAAAATTTGAATTTCAGACCTGACACAAAGGAAATACCACACAGCCTGTTTGGATTGTAAACAGTTTATAAAACACAAAAATTATTACAATTTCATCATTTGCATAAGACTTTCTTTGCGACCACTACTAGACACGAACTGCTGCAGTGTGTTGATTGACAAGATGTCTGATTTGTGTGTGTGTGTGTGTGTGTGTGTGTGTGTGTGTTTGTTTAATGGACTCCTATATTACAGGAAAAACTCGATCTAAGGACAAATGTGGCACACACCGAATTGCACATTATATAAAAGAAGTGAATTTGTAGAACAAATAACATCCTGGATTATAAACCTTGACAATAATGGCTACCGGATTAAAAATAGAAGCAGCAGAATTAGTCATTGGGTAACACTGTTTGTCAGGTATCATGCTTTCTCTGTGCACAGGCAGCTTCCTTCTTTGTTGAGATCACACGAAGCTAAAGCCTCTTTTAAACCTCCAAAATCCTTTGTCCATTTTGTGACCGTGACGCCGTTCGTTGGTGTGCCAGGTTTCGAACCGCGATCTGCCCAGACAGAATGTTTCCCTACCTTCTTTTTACTCATGCATGCAGGGATTGGCCAACTAAAAACACACCAGATGAATTAAGAGACAATGGTTGAATAAATAAAGAAAGCCTTGAGGAATTAAGACAAATGTCATGGAACACATTCCTGCACCGGTTTTATGTAATGAGGTTCGACTTGACGGAGGCAAATCACATGTTCAAAACAAATAAATAGTATAAAAAAATGCCACCATTTCTTTTTTTGCACCTGTGTTGAAGGTTGTGACAAATCCAAAATGTTTACTTGCAGTAAACATACCTTTGTGCTGATTGTGTTTATTTGCAATAAACATGTCGACAAGCTCGATATAGGGAGCGCTGAGTCAACCCACGTTGGTGGAAAACGTGAGCCACAACAATCGTCAGGGATGTTACGACACATCACAGGACGAGGCGACGCGCATCGCTAAAGTTCTGAGGAGGGAAAAAGATTTTAGCAGCGGATCTGGAAAAATTAAGAATCATTATGTTTTTCTTTCAGAAATATTTTCAAGTTCACATATTGAAGAGCAAATGAGAAGTTGATTTCAGTTCATTTTATGCTGGTGACTGGTGGCCATGTTGGATTTTGAGGCTAGTTGTTACTTTCAGACTTGATTCAATTTAAACTTTATTCATCCAAAGTATTTAGAAAATGGAGCAGAAGTGGAATACACCGAGTAGCGAGACAGTAACTGAATATGTTATAATTAAGTGTTACAAAGACAGATATCTCAATTGAATATTGATTAAATTCATAGTAGACACATTTCGGTTAAATGTCAAAGAGAACAAGCCAGAGATTGGTAAAAAAAGGAACATTTTATTTATACATCCGTCAGTAACAGAGACCAAAGTTCAGGTTTATATAGATGACCGAATCTATCATAACTTAAAATAAAGACTGGAGCCGTATCAGATTCATTAAAAGATACTTTGTTAACTTAAAAACAATAACTACAAAAACATTTTATAACATTTTCCAATTGGATTTTCTCACTTTTTCTCCTCTTTTATACAAAATGCTCCGTCGGTAATGTAAATAATCAAATACGCGAGTGTTGAGCTAAAAGAAAAAAAAACAACACATTCTTCCAGCCGAGGCTTACAGGTGTGAGGTTTGCATCAGCCGGGCGTATCTTTGTCATCCTTCTACAGAGGAACAACAACTACCTTAATGTGCCTGGGGACCTTGGCTTTCCTTCGCCACCTGTTATTCTTATTAACTTCTGTTGAAAGCTGGTCACTTGTTATAATGTACTTTGGACGAGATCCAGATTAAATGCTGTGTGAGAATGTCTTCAGATGTGCCTGAGTACAGCGGTGTTTGTAGACCGGACTAAAATAACAGGAACTGGATTACCTGCTAAGGTTGGCTTGCATTCGTGTGAGGGATGCAAACTGCTAATATGCTTTTGCAATAGAGCTAACTTTTTGAGAGTGTTTAGGGCTTCACTTAAATAAACAAGTGAAGCAAAACAGAAGGCAGAAGCAGTAGTTGAAATCATTTCTCACAGCTTAAAACACATACTGCACATCAGCTTTTTTTGTTTTTTGTTTTTTGGTTGCATTTATGTGTTTTTGCATGAAGCTCGAACCAAATAATTCATTTTGACTTTTCAGGTACAACAACGCAATGTATGTGCAACATTTGAACTCGAGGTTTTACCGTAAGACATTGCAGGAAAGATTAGAAGAAGACACACCACATGGTGTATGACGGTGGCACCTACTCCATCATCACCATCATCATCATCATCATCGTCGTTTGTCATCGTCATCAACCTCTGGATGACGACTGAACCAGCCTGAAGGTCATTCTGTCAAAGAGTGTTGCATTTCTCAAGTTGTTGGATGGCTTCCCAACTTTCACTATGTTTCATCAGATTCTGGTTTCTCAATCACACATTTCAAGCAATATTTTGACATGTATCAACATGCGTCTTAAGAAATAGCTTCCTAATCTGAATGCTTTCTTAAACCTTGCATGTTTTAAAGATCATCTGCAGGATGAACGGTTGTTTTTTTATAGCTCAAGTTAAAGCCGTGGTTTAGGCCCTCTTCAATGTCTTGGTCTCGGTAGAGAATTTTGTGTGTGTTTGTGAAAAGACAAAAAAAAGAAAAACCAACAAAAACTCGTCAGATTTCTGATGGCTTGTGTCACATGTTTCGTGAGAGGGGTAGTTCAGTTTGATCACTCCTTACTGAGTAAAGCAGCAAGCCCTTTTTAAGAGGAAATTTGTTCGACAGAAATAGTTGCTGACATCAGTCGCAGTTGGCATGCAGAATTTTGACACATGAGTCACTGAGCACCAGGTTGCCCAAGGTCTATGTTCTCGTTGGTCCGTATGCGCTCTTTTATTATTTATTTACTCATGTGATGGCTTTGTAACGAAATCCTCGGACTGGAGCAAACATACAACATACGTGCCTTTTCGACAAGTGCTGCTTGTGTGCTTTAGGTTGTGGAAAACTCTTTCAGTGTCTGGAGATAATCCTGGCCTCTGTGGCCACAACCACACACACAAAGATTTGCTCAGCCCTGCTTCAAACTGGAGAAATTCAGCACCGACAATAACAACAGCCTCAGAAATGATAACTTGTACTTTTTGCGGGAAGTTTTCCGTCGAGCAAAGGTACTGACCTGACTTTGTTTTGTCAGCGCATGGCCTCTCGGTGACTTTTTATCTCGGCTACACCCTTTCTAAACTCTCAGACCCTCTCACCTGTCACTCCGTGACAGTAAGATACAGCTCTCTTTGGATGAAGTAACCTCTCCAACCTCTTTACTTTTGACACTTTGTATTCTCTATCAATGTAACCAAAGCCCTTATGAATAACCCTCCACTTCCTCAATCCCCCTCCCTCCCTTCCACCAACATCTCTTCTTCATGTTTCTCTCTCA